TAAATCCTGTCATCAAGTAAGTTTATTTCAATTTCCTTATAATTTTCTGCATATGTTTGGTAGTTAATCTTGCAAGTAAATTATTGATAAAATTATGTTCCTTATTAAATATAAATTCAGTAGAATTTACATAATCGTTTGGTCGAAACGAAATCTTATTCACTGTTACACGTCGATTTTAAGGATTTTTTCGATTTTATAAAAAAAAAATCTCTCCTAAAAATTGACAGCGAAAAGAAAAGTAATGGGGGGTTGTATGGCATATTATAAGTAACAAATCACTGTTATGCTTAGTATATACGCGAGATAATTTCTCGCTTTATGCTGAATTTTATTTCCAGTTAATTATCTGTCAAAGCGAAAAACACCAACGCCGACTTAACCTGCTTTCTGATTAATCTCCTTACCGTTCGTTCTCCTTAATTCCGATTACGTGGGATTCCCCTGTAGGCATACTTCGATTGAAGCTCAAATCGAAACATATCGATTTTTACAAAAAAAAATATCGATTTGAAAAAAAAAAATAGAACGGGTTACGCGGGGAGTCAACTCAACAATTTAATCACATATCAAACTTCATATATATTTTATCAGAAACGAGAAGTTTTACACACGTACAAAAAAAAAAAAGCTTTTGTTACTGTTGATTGTTAAATGTAAATTCTTTTTCAGTGCTTGTTTATCCAGGAAATGTTGAGTGGAACAAAACCCAACAAATTTCGAGTAATCGATCATTAACACCATCACAAATGATTTTTTTAACAATTATCTTATCTAAACTGCGTATATGCAGCTGAAAGCAGCTGAAGTAACCATGGAGGTCTTGACTCAGTTGATATATCATTAATACTTTCCAATAAAAACCAGAAATTCCCCACGAATTATTCATTAAAAAAATGCGTTAGTACAAGTATTCGCTACTTGGAGCGCCCACAAAATTGATATTTTCATTTCCTTTTAAACATCCTATAGTTTAGTTAATACAGTTGTGCCTTTTTTTGTAGATCAACAAACTGAATAAACAATGTTTCAACGGTACTTGCTGCCTCCATCATCAGGGCAAATGTAATTTACGAAAGAATATATACATTTTATTTTAAAAGATTGTTAAGTATTAAGACGTAACTTTAGTTTTTCCATTAAAAAAAGTATCCTGCTTGCTTCGCCGCCACGTGTTGGAGGTCTTCTCACCTCGGAGGCCTGAGTGAGAGCCCGGAGGAGTCCCATTTGATTTAAGATCCACGAATTCGAACTGGAACAAGTTTTCTTTCTCTGAGTCCTGTTTGCCTCTGTCTGAATCGATCTACCACTGCTCAATATTCATTTATGTATCATCTGTGGATGGATAATTGGTCTGTCAGCGGTAGTAATTCCATAAACACGGACTTACCCCATCGTAACAATAAATAAAAATTAAACCTCGCGAATCAGGGTCGGTCCACGGTCCACAGGTTTCGCTTCACGTGTCTCTGGTATATAGGGACGCATTCAGGCAAAGACGTCTTAGAACCTCAGCTCACATTTTAAGACCAATGTCACAATTCTCCCAGAAAATGTGGTAATAAGAGATAACAGGAAATCAATAAATCGATTACCAACTCGTGCTTTGCTTTCAATGCCAAACGAACGTTTAATAAGATTAATTTATTTTCGAATATTTAGACAAGCCTTGGGGACATAATGGTCTGTTGTTAAGACGCTGGACTTCCGTACACGTCTCTAGCTCGAGGCCAGAGAGACCCAGTAGGAATTATCCAACAAAAAAATTCTCAAACTCCCACACTGGTTCGGATCCCATGTTAATCTGTAGGATCCTTCAACGCAATGTTACTATCATTATCCCAAGTCGCCAATAATCTTAAAACAAAAGCAGAACCAACTACCGAAACGTCATTAGTTATATAAAATACACTTTAGAGACTCTAATATGTCTATCAATAGCCTTTGTTGTCATTTGTTTTATGTGATAGATAATACGATAGATATCTTAAATATAAATATTTTTATAACAGGATTATTGGTTAATATTTATATAGTTCGCGATTGTAATCTTGAGACTTACTGCATTCCTAGCAAAGTCTCAAGATTACAGTCGCGTACTGTAACTACAGTTCTGTTTGTAAACATGGCTAGCAGTCCTTTTAGTCCACACATAGAAGAAAATATCATTTCTCCGCAGAAGATACATGGACTTGCTTTAGTCTACTTCAAGATCACGATCGAATCTGAAATATCGATATGTGCCCACGTAAGATACGACAATCGTTCAGTTTTGAAAGATAAAAAACGGGGAGAAAACAAACAATAAAACATGTCTGGCATCGAAGCCCGAAAATATCAGACTATGTTGCGTTAGAATACGTAAAACTTTTCTTCTGAATTTTGTTCGTCGCCACATAAGCTCATATTTGAGATTACTGTACATGAAATCGCATTATATTCCTTAATTAAACAAAGGTAAGTAATGATGATAATGTTTTGTTATACAACAATACTTATTTTTAACTTCTGTAAGCTGCTTTGTGTAAACAATGCACTTGAACAAAAGACTGTTCACTCACCCATGGTCTACTTTCGGTGTAACACAGCAAAGCAGATGTTTGCGTGTTAATGCTTTGCAGCTTACGTAATTAAGCAAAGATAATTTAAATTTTTATACGCTGTTGTGTTTGCAAGAAAAATGTTTTAATAACTAATTTAGATGTTCTCGTCATTGTCGATAAACAATTTTATAATTAATAGAATATGGAGTTAATTAATTCTATATTAATAATATTAAGAATTAAATCCGTACCTCAAAGAAAACAGAACACTTCTCCATTACAAGTATCAATTAGTTATATAAATATAAATAAAATCACGAAAAACTAGCAAAACATTTTTAATTTAAAAAAATTAAAATTTAGTATCATGTCTACGAAAACTGCATTGGAATAATCAAAATCAAATCGAACAGGTTAACGCGACTCTGAGAAACAATCTCGTATCGATAGGGAAAGTTCTTCAAATACCAAGGTCAAACGTTTCGTAAGATTCAATTAGGTTGGAATGATAAGAATGTTCTACGCCCTGTTCCATAATCAGCTGGGATCTTAATTAAACTTTGAAGCCGAATCTCTTACATAATTTAAGAATTCAGTCCGTACCGCGAAGAAAACACCACACTTTACCATTACGAAGATCAACTGGTTAACGCTGTTTAAGGAAATAATCTCTGTTTATAATGAGACACGCGCTGCGTACATAATATTTAAACATTTAGTCCGTACCGCGAAGAAAACACAACACGTAACCATTACGAAGATCAACTGGTTAACGCTGTTTAAGGAAATAATATCTGTTTACATCGGGAATCATGTAAAACCCAAATTCAAAACGTGCAGCTACTGATTTTTAAAGTATCTTGTACATATATTTAACATTCAGCTTTAACGGGTTAAAATAACGCGAATCGATATAACCTAAAGGTGATAATGTAGACATACAGAGAGTCAGAGACAGTGTAATACGGAGTACACCATTTAAAACTAAACAGAACAAAAAAACACGTACTACGATCCAAAAATTAAACCCGTCTCACTATAGTCAAGGTCACAAAAGTCGCTAGGCCTCTACTCACTCCACTTGCGTATATTAAATTCATTGCTTTGCGTGGTTCAAGAGTGGGATAATTTAAAAAGGAAACTAAGGAAATTGTCTGAGGAAATTCACTTCGAAAAGTCATAAGAAACACGCTTTAAAGGTTGGATATTAATCTTTGAGTAGTTACTGAACACTTTCAGTATTTTATGTAAAACAAAACTCGTTCCCCTTGTGCCTATGACCAAAGATTACAAATATTATTGTAGTTAGAGGTCCATTGTAAATTAAAAATTCTGTATAAGCGCGGCTTTCAAGACGTAAGATGAAGTTCGTCACATTTTTACAGCCTTCCTGGGTTCAGAGGCAAGATAATCAAATACGAATTTTATTTGTTTCCTTTTAGATACTCAGTAAAAATTCACATATAGCAAACAGGTTTATTTAAAAACAAGCAATGATCGACTCTCACCACATCCGTCACAATTTATAATCCATAATCACCCTTCTATTAAATACTATTTAAAGTATTCTGCTAATAAAACCAAGGAATTAAATAAATAAATAAAGTTTCCGAATTGCAAACGCATACCAAATGTTCAACCAATTCTCATGAAGATTATAATCTTACACGGCCCAATTGTATTTTTAATTAATACAGGTATAATCTTGCTAGCATCTTAAATTACGTACGAACGCTTCCATAAATATTATTCACAATTCATCATTCATTAACTATCCTGTCATCCGACGCTGTATATAAGCTAAGATGCTGATAGCATCGTTAAATAAGCCACAAATAAAAAATATAAAAAACGTGATAAAGGGAAGGAGACAACAGTTAAAATAAGTAAAATTTAGAAAGGCACACACAAATGACACCCTTATAACACCCACCGTGTAGGCATGAAATATAGAAAAGAAACTATATTTTCTACACGGCTGTACCTGTCATTTATCATAGATTGTCAACATGTGTCAGCTAAACAAGTTTATATGCAATCATCTGTAAATAAATCCTACACTATACACTATTAACCCTTTAAACGCGAAGCTCGGCAAATCGTATTTAAGAATCCAGTCCGTACCGCTAAGAAAACACAACACTTCACCATTACAAAGATCGACTGGTTAACGCTGTTTAAGAAAATTCAAGTTATTAATTATTTAAATGTAGTTACCACTGGGCTATAAATGTTTAATAGTCATTCATGTTTTCACGAACGAAATGACCAGGTTCCTGACTTAAACTACCAAACTTGTAGACGATTGTAAACGGGTAGACTATGTGTCACACGTATCACACGCCAATCATTAAAAACATAACCACAAAAACAATGCATTTTGAACACAAGAACAGTGTGTGTATACTCTACGTCCTGTACACAAAACTCCGTGCTTCTAGCAAGCATGATACCCACCTTGTGACAGTCATTCACATCAGCTCCCAGGTTCCACGTAGCTCGACACACACAGTTTTCCACTCCGCGGACGACTGATTCCAAGCAATCGAACGTACCGTGTACTCTCGATGTTAATCCCAAACAAAACACTAACGCCGTCTCGACAACAGCGACCTTGCTGCTTCTACAACACACAGGACGGCTCCGTATGTTGATCAGCCAAGCACAGTAGTGTCAGAACCGCAGCACAATCCAACACTTTCAAGAAGGAAAAGGAGATGGACTTTTTTTTATCTTTTTTTTAGCCTTTATTAAAAGTCACTTTCATCTCTTGCGCCAGCGCGAAGATGGCAACGCCACGTAGCGGGACTACAGGAACTACTGTGACAAACTAGACGCAATGCGCATGCTCCGCGTAAATATAATCGATTCCTGCACTCTCAATGCGACAATGGTCGTCGCCTCGCTGTTCGTATTAAGCTGTGTTCACGCCGGACAACAAGACGAATTATAAAACAGATGCAGTGTTATATCTATCTCTTGATATCAGCGTATTTTACTGCTGATGATAATGGATAACCATTGAACTGTACACGACTTTAATACAAAATTATGGAAAATATAAATCACAAATAGCAGTTGCGTGTAAAATTGAGTCAAGTCGAACCAAATACTGACTTCATTATTGGTGATATTTCAGGTGCTGATGGCGGTAAGAGCCTGGAATAAATTTACAGACGTTTCAGAGGTGATTAGTTCCCCCATGGTCAGAGAGGTGGAGAACTCAAAACGTATGAAGATTTCTAGCAGATTACGCGGTGTAGCATTTCCATAATACAGTCATCTTCGACTTTATACTAATTTCACCGAGATATTTAAACGCAGACATCAAAACGACGTAAACCCCATACCAGAGTTAATAGTATACGTTCATCTAAAATGTTTGGCAAGGTCTGGAAAATGTAAAAAGTTAATAATAAAACTTCAGTTCTAACTGGCAATATATATAAATGTAATTGATAAAACTGCGATAAATACTAAAAAATTAAGCACAATAATAGTCGTGCTAACATTAAGTTTATTCCCTAAAAAGAACAAAGTAAAACACCAGCGAAATGGTAACGCGAGATAAGAACATTCACGCTTCAAAGTGTTTCACAAACGTTTAAACGATTTTAAAACGTGTGTGTGTTCTAGCGTGATTTAAAAAAAGTTCTCCATTTTCGTTTTCATATTCAGCGCAAAATAAATTACGAGAGTTTACATTAAACATGGGTATCATTTTACATTTTAGTGTTAGCAATTTAAAAACTTCTGTATTTATGGTTACGGAATTTTCATGGTAGGTTACGAGGGATTCCCCAACGATAAATATTTTAAGATATTTCAGCGGATGACTGAAAATGTAAATGCAACTATTTCGGGTTAACTTTAATATTCGTTCGTGAAATATATGTACACATATAGCTAGAAGAAACATTTGGCGCGTGTATTCCTTCAGACCAGGAAGAATATATAAAAGGTCAAAACTTCTGAAAAGTGTCCTGGGTTCGAGTCTCGATAAGTATGTTGCTTCTGGGGATTAAAATAATAATTCTGTCTATGATTTTTAAACATACGTATCGAATGATCATGCCTGGAGAAATCTTTCAGGAGGGCCTTTCAAGTGTCCTCACAGAGATGCAAGTCAGGTGATCGTGGTCCTTGGCCTCTCAATCGGTAATTTTATTATATGGAATATCTTACACAGTCATAAAAATATGTAATTCTTTCTGGACAGTAAATTTCTAATATTCTTACGAACATTTAATAATACTTTGCGGCATAAAACATGGTCTCAAAATGTATACAAACCTTTCAAATACATCCTGTATAAAGTATTTTTTGTTACAGATCATTTTGGGAGAGTTCTCAACATAAACTTTGTAATTTTTATCAATCTATCCTTACTTAAAAGGTCTATATAGTTATACAGTACTGCATATGCAGCCTCTCCCTTGTCCTTTCTGCTCCCCCTTTTCAGCCATCGTACGATGTAAAAGTCACGAGCGCCCTCTGAGGATATCGTCACTCCATGGTCAGATGGGTTATATTTTTTTACTGCGTAAATTTTTAAGTTCATTGTTCGTTACGTTTTGAACGTCACGCAGGCTAATTAGATTCCTCATTTTTAATTTACATTAAAATGACCAGAAAACAAGCGTGAGGGGATAATATCAAAGTTGTTCCAAAATGAATACGATGTAAGGTAAATCAGATTAATTTTATTAGTTAAGTAAGAACCTGTGGGAAGGGGCTGTTATAAACACGGAAATTAACTTTCAGTTTGCATAAACATCTACGCTTTTGATAGCTTCTGGGCAAACATCAACCCATAGAATTAGTTAATGGCTCATTGGAGCTAGGAATATGAAATACTGTGTTAAGATTTTATAAAATTTCCTACAAATTACGCATGTAATGTTTTTAATCAACATTTACAACATGGCGACCTGGCGTAACAATGATAATATCACACTAATACTAATTATTATTTATCAATGAAAGCAAAATAATGTTCTGATTAGAATATAAATAAATCCTTCGATCATGTACACAAACGAAACTGCATTTGGAAATTGGATTAATAAATAATATTACGTAAATGTACGAGCATCTTAAAAAAGGGTAAGGTTAGAGTTCAGTGCAGTGGAAAAAGATGGCGTCACGAGCTGTGTCCGAAAATCCATGGTCTCATTTAAATTTGTAGGAATTACGCACACAAACTTTATTAGTAAACCAAAATCTACTTTAGAAGAAATACGCTTACCACGAAAGGATTGGATCACAATGCGATCTCTTTACGTTTGATAACAAACTTAAAAGATGTCTCAAATCTAAAACTTCTTGACGATGGTGAAGAGTCAATTGAATAAAAATTTACTTGGATATTATCCATCGTCTAGTAATAAAACGTAAAACGACGTTTCGGAGATGGGGCCCACTAGATAGAGCTAATCCCTATCTCCGGAGATAGGGATTAGCTCTATCTAGTGGGCCCAACTGAGTAGGAACCTGAAGACGGAGATAGAGCCCCATCTCCGAAACGTCGTTTTACGTTTTATTACTAGACGATGGATAATATCCAAGTAAATTTTTATTCAATTAAAAGATGTCACTTCAAACTGTTTTAAAGTGTTCTTGTGTGGATACTAAAGTGTATTTGAGTCAAACGAAGAAACAGATGGAAGGAAAAATTATTTGATTATAAAGATTTCTGTCTTCTGGGTTATTGCGCTGTGTAGTCTGGTCGATGTTAACCAACGTTTCAGAGGTCATACTGCCTCCGTCATCAGGGCGATTATTCAGAAGACAGAAATCTTCATATTCACCGCTGTGAGAACCTCAAGTCTTACATATTTGATTATAGTTCATGAAACAGGTTTTAAAAGCCTAAAATCAGAGCAGATAAAGACTGAACAAAGTATCTGCTTCATTGCAGTTTTAATTTAAACAGATATTCGTAAACACCAGATACAAGTGGACATCCACCATTGTATGAACAGTATTATTTACTCAAAGAAATTATTTTTTCCAATTCTTGGGGGGGAGGGGGGGATCTGCTAACGGTGGAAGACACGTTGAGTGTCAAATTCGTTCCGGTTTTGTCGAAGACTGTACTCAGAACTAACTCTGGCTGGACATTGATTACTCCAGGGGCTGAGCCTCAATAAATACACACAATCATCTGTCTCGCTTCCCCTAACAGTAAACGAGAGACGAAGGCTTTAAATAATAATTATGTATGTTTTGTGGACACTTCGAAACTGACAGGTTGTATTTTATCTTTGTAAGACGTTTTTCTAACATGTTTTCCAGCCATCTAAAACTGCAGCTAATCTAACACTTGCAAAGAACCATTCCCTGGCTTTTGTGTAGTTATGAGATAAGAAGTTCAGTGTTTGCACGGTACGCGGCGGGCGTGTCGATTGTAGTGGCATCTGAATATCGACTGTCACTCACGTGGAGTGCTGGGCGGTGAAGTCCCTTATTCCGTGGTGAAACCCGCAACTCCGTCTCTACAGTGCGTTTCTTTGGAAAGCGATGACTGAAACGTTGGAATCTAATATATCCTCCCGTCAAATCTGGTCCCTTTACTACACTGTCCAGAAATCACACCTATTTTCCGATATTATTGTTTGAATCGTTTATTTTATAGGAGGATACAAGACATTTTGGGTGTTTGGCTTTCAATTAATAGCTCGATGTTATTGAAATATTTTTTATTTGAAAATTAGTGGCGACAGATTGAAATTTACCTTTAAACTTTCTGATTCTTAATTAGTAAGCTACTTTGTTGACACTCTCTGTCGATGAATATAAAACTATTTATATCAACTTATATGTTATATTAAAGCGTCTATAATGCCTTTTCTGTGTTTCAAAATATTAAGAACCACATAGTAAACACCGCACTTTACCACTACCCCTTTTCGGCTGTCCCTGACTATTTATTAAATAAATTCGCAGCACTCTCCGACATGGAAGATTTTTCCTTCATCGTCAAAGCCAAGCCATTTTGAACGGAAACGCTTATCTATGACAAATATTTCGTTGGAAGTTCTTTTATGGCGACTTATAACATACAAAGCCTGAAAAAAAGATACTGTATTGGTTTAAATGTGAAAAGGACGTAAGTTTTCTTGAAAGTTAAATATCAGTTAGGTCAGAATAATTCGATTTTGAGGCGATTTAACTAGTTCGTAGCATACAGAGGTATAAAATAACATTGAAATTGAAAATACTCGAGTATTTTGCAGTCTTTAATGAAAATTCCATAAGACTATTTACCCTAAGCAGTTTGGGAACAATTTTTGTTTAACGCGATTTGATACCACAGTATGTGTATAAACTTTTGGTTAGTATGGTACTATATAACAGAACTGAATGGATTATCGGAAGATACTGTTTGTGAATAAAGAACATAAATGTTTATTCAAGTAAGAGTCCTTTCCTGTTCTGGACCTGCGCTGTAATGAAAATAAATGAAAACCTACAAGCCTTGCCTCTGCGGGCTGTTGTGTGATCAGTGTTTATAATGGCTTTGTATTCGTTCTTCCTGGACAGACGAAACGCACAAGAAATATCAGTTGTATGAGTAATGTGTTCGCTTCATCTATAAAAAAAGTTTTCTGTTCCTACAGAAACTGAAATGTTTCAATTTACGGGTGAGTGGAAACTGATATATGAAGACAAAGACTAGTTTTGTAGAAACGGGAGTGCGCAATCATGTGTTAACAACAAAGATTTCTCCGTTCGACCTTTTTTTTTTTTACTGAATAAAACATTCCAATGTTTCAGCAAACAAACAATAGATAGGCTTATAAATATTTACTGAATAAAACATTCCAATGTTTCGGCAAACAAACAATAGACAGGCTTATAAATGAAGTTCCTACGTACAGAATTTAAATAAATAAAAGTAGAAATGTATTCTAACGGAATACTCATAAATTTTAATGTTTCTCTCGAAATTCTTTTTAAATAACTTGGACGTTTTGTTAATTTGTTTCACATACAAATATGACACTACTGTAAACTTAATCAATTTAAATATACCACATATCAATACGAGTAACTGATTGTGTTTCGTCAAATATTAACTATGTGTAAAAAAGTTTTAACTAAAACTCTTAGATGTTAATTAAATCTAAGTTTTATCGTGTGTTATTTTATCATAAGATAGAACATAGAAACTGATAAAATCTCACCTGAGATTTATGTGACCATGTTAGACCAATATAAATTATCTCACCGACTCATACTGTAGACTTATTCAAATCGAAATTCGTTCTGCGTCTTCGAAAATTGAGCATAAGTAGGGATGGAGAGATACAACACCCTATTTTGCTTTGATTTTAAACATTCTGTGCAAAAATCCATTAAGAACAATTACTCCAAGTTCGTTCTCTCATAATCGGAGGGACAGACGATGTAGAATTTTTTTTCTCGAAATTTGACGTCCAAGGTCACTGCGCTCCTAGTGTTTTAGACTAGTTTTTTTCTCATCTACGCGTGAGGGGAAAAATTATTCCAGTATTTGAATAAAATGTAATTATAATCTTGTAAAATGCTCGCCGTTGCCTTTCGCAATTCAAGTTTCATTATTCTATCATAAACGACCCTCACAAAAATTAACAATTCTAACTAGAATATTACGTTCTAAATAAAACTACACGTCTCAAGTTCAACATAATAATTCATGTTTTTACGCATCACAATATCTTGTAAACTGGCAATGAAATAACACTTAACAAAGGATTTTAACATATATTTAATTACATTTTCAATACAAACATCATATAAGCTTCGATTTAGTAATGTTGTATTAAATCTTACTATCAAATAGAGTATGGATAGTTGGCAACTGTTCCGTTAGGACTTGGAGACGCGGCAACTGAAGCCGCACTAGCGCATAGCGGAAAGCCCGTGTCACCGGCACAGTCGCTAAATATCCTCAGTGTAAACGAAATGAGAAAGAAAAGTTACTGGCTACGGGCCAGAAACCTGGGTTTGATTTCCGGCGGGAGGTTAATAATACCCTAAGCTTTGTCTCCCCGTGTCTTCACAGAGTGGAGACTTTGAGACACAGACATATACTGACTTCCTCAGTTTTTAAATGGGTGTAACATATTCCAGGGTTGCTACAACCTGAAAGACAGTTGGAAACAAATCAATATTATTCTCCATCTAACCTAGGTCTCTCAAATAGTCTCTTTACTACAGGTTTTCAGATAACATTGTAGCTTTTCTCAACTTCCTTATTTTCCAACATATCACATCCATTTTTATCATTCTTTATTTAATTATTATCATCATATTTGGTGAACATATAGACGCCAATATAAGATGTTTTAGGATAATAATATTTCAAGCCTAGCTGGCCATATTGCATGCATTAAGATGACTCAAAATATGGTCAAATTCTGTTCTATGGTCTATGACGTCACGTGGTCTTCTAGGTTAACAGCCGATTCTCCATAAAGGCGGAAACTCTGTAGGTCTAGAGAGATATAAGGAACTGGTGTGGAAATAGAAATCTTCGTAGAAGGCCCAGGAACGTATAATAAAACAACTGGCACATGTTCTATTTGTAGAAGTCTGTTGTTTAGAATTTTCTTCTCGTATTACTTTTATGGTGCTATATATTACAATCGGAATACATGTAAGTGACGTGTTTCTAGAAACTGTGGCGTAAACATGTCCTCGTCTACGTTTAGTGATCGATACGTACAGGATATTTATTAAAGTTAATGATATTTTAAATATTTTATATTTTATTATCTTATTAAAAATTGTGATTTGACGGAAAATATTAAAATATTAAAGTTAATTTATTTCCTTATTAGTTAACTACGTTACAACGAAATAATATAACAGAGAAAAAAATATCTGCAGTCTCAATTTGTGAAAATTACTTACCTATTCAACCAACAAAGAAAAACATACAAATTGGGTTAAAGCCTGTACTTAAATCTCACGCTGTTTTTACTACTACGTCATTGTGTGTACTCCATCATCCAAACATAGAGTTCAGTTATATTCAGTTATTTTTCATAATTTTCGGGTTAATAACGTAGGCGTAGCTGAAAACAGCCTATGGTGTATGTAAAAATGTTCGTGTGCAACAAATATCCATCCCCTAATTAATTAGTAGCCCAATTTATATCAATCTAAATAAAATTCAGACCAGCTAATTAATTTAAATAAACGAAAGTAATCATAAAGTTAATTTAAATTAAGTTGAGATGATAATGTTGCGTCATATTGTGATTAGACGGTTAAAATTAAACAATTAAATTAAGTTATATAGCTCCAAACGGTTGGCTATGAATCATGGCCTGTCCGAAAATATATCAGAGGATATCAGAGTAAAACACAAATATTTTCCCGAAAACTTATTTTATGTACGAGATTCAAACACGACCCTCCTGAATACAAACATAAATATTAACCAATGTACCGCATAGTTTGGTCTTCGGGGTTTCGTTTAAAAATAAAAATAAAAATCCATATTCTCATTCGCAAAGTTGTTGAAACTGTGTGCCACAATTTACTGGTATAAGTCTATTTTCAGGAGAACGCCAGGCGGAAATGCATCAGAGAGAGTGTGTCCCAGTCAACGAACACCAGAACATCACGACTTGTCAACACTGGATACATTCGAATTTTGAAAACGAGGGACCATTTAACCCATCAACACCAGTAAACAACTCTTCAGTTACTAGAAATCTATATACCAGAAGAGCAGACCCCTTCTTACCAGAAAACCGCATTCCCTTACCAAAATTACACTCTAATAAGACAGAAAACATCGATTATGAAGTGATCAGCAATGGTGAAGGTCACGACAGCGCATTCTTTTACGCACTACAGTCGCCATCTAACGAGAGACGTAGAAACGAGAGGGAACGTCAGAGAGTTCGAAGCGTGAACGAGGGATTTGAACGTCTCCGAAAATTTCTCCCGATAACTCATCTGTGTCAGGACGAGACGGCGTATGTGGTGGCATCTACCAACAAAATGAAGCGATACCAGAAAAGACGGTTTAGTAAAGTGGATGTGTTGCGGGCAGCCATCGTGTATATAAAACACCTCCAGGGGCTTCTCAAAGAAGAACAACTGTGTAGATATTAACTTCTTTATTTATAATTTAATAACGCGTATCCGTTTATTAATATATAATTAATTGAAAGTGGTCTACTTTAAGATGTTCCTGATGTAACGGAGTAAAAATATGAAAAATCTCAATACAGCCGGTTACATGGGCGAGATTTGAACAATTTATTTGTAAATCTTTTGGAGGATATAAAATAAATTATCTACCACCTAGTAACAAAGTAACAAATAATTTCACAGGCCTCGTTAAATGTCGTGTCGAGTGTATGTGGCCCACAGGCTGCCAGATGGACGTCTAAATTGCAATTATATTTTCATAATATCAATAAATACTTTAAACAATAGTATAAAAACAAATAAAATAACACATTAAAAACAGTTTATGGGAAGCCAACATTGCGATAATAAAACATCACGAATGTGACTAAGTGCACAGATGATATTTTATTATAAACATATTATTAATTTATGAAGTGTTTTAATGTAATATTTTACTATGTGCCTCAAATAGGGGTCTGAAGATGTACTTTGCCACCTGAAACACGTAGCCCAGTGTCCAGTAACATACAGTGAAAAAGCATGTGGGCTCATTATTTTAATACATTTATGTATTCTGTTGTCTGAAGACTGCAAAAAAAGTAAACACATTTATACACGATCTTGTAAATGTAACAGAAGCAGAAACTGAGAGACGGGACAGATCAGTAACGAGTATTAACCCAGAATAATATCAAGACACGCGATTATTGTCCGTAGATTGGTAGTTGGCGGGGCAGTTGTGCCCGGGGGGGGGGGGGGGCATACTGCCTTGAGCATTCTACTACCATTTCAGTGTAACATTATCCCTTTTCTCAAGTTGTACAGCACGGACGCTCATTGAGTCATATAAATGTTTACTCACAGTTATGTTGGCAAGTGTAGTAATGGCAGGCAGCTTATTAAAACTGCCTAGTCATCTTTCAATCTATAAACTCTTGCTACGAGAAAAGGTTTATACTGTGTCATTTTTCTTGCATCATTAATTTAGACAGCTCATTTATAAACTCTGGTAGATCTTTTTGTGTTCCTCTGTCAAAAAATCACGATAGGATGACACAAATAGGTTAAGATAGTAGAAATCCTTAATATAGGTAGTTTTTTTCCAAACTGTTATTTGTTTTATGAAGTGTAATAGTTTACTAGTATTATCAGAGTTTAATAGTTTTTGTATCGTGTTCGAATACATATTAAAAAAATCATATAAATATTTAGTTACATGACTTATATTTCCCCAAAATACTATTAAATATTATTTCTCAATGTTTCTGGTGCAACAAACCCTTCCACTCCTTAAAATTTCTGGAGTCGCATATCTCTCCCCAAAAATATTTCACATAAGAAGATTTCTGTCTTCTGGGTGAATATTCATCGCCCTGATGACGGAGGCAGTATGACCTCTGAAACGTTGGTTAACATCGACCAGACTACACAGCGCAATAACCCAGAAGACAGAAATCTTCATATTCACCGCTGTGAGAACCTCAAGTCTTACATATTTCACATACTTAGATTATAATTTTTAAAGTAGCTTAAAATACAGCTTACATTCATAACTGGCTCGTAGCGGTTGGTGGCGAGTCCGCAGGTGTTGGCTAACCTGGAGGAACCGAATGTCGTGCTACTAGCGGTGACTTTACATACTATAAACACATCGTACTGGGCCACGTTGGTTTACTTCGATAATTCCTTTCAAAGTGCTTTGTGCTACCACCTGGTGAATGAAGTAGGAGATAGTAAGGTCGTGTTCCCAATAGCCGAAATTGCATGAACTTGCTTCTAAGAACTGCAATGTAAACCATCGTCTTGTGGAATCGAAAACGGGTCTCTTGGAACAAGAGACAGACGGCTGCAACATATACCACGTTACACAATATGAAGGAACATGAAATAAACGATTGCATACGCTAACATATTGGCCACAACTGCAAATACAGTTTGCATGTTGTAGTCATGCATAAAAGAGATACATCAGCGAATATCCGTGGCTATTAGGAACACGACCTTACTACTTTCTACTTCATTCACCAGATGGTAGCACAAAGCACTTTGAAAGGAATTATCGAAGTAAACCAACGTGGCCCAGTACGGATACTTCATTAGACACACCGCACGTTCGTAGCAAATTCTCATTTCCTTTTAAGCTACAAAAGTGTGTAACTTTTGAGGCATGAGCAGACAAATATGAGGACAATAAAACTGGATACTTAAAACCCATTATTGCAATTATACGACTCAAAATAAACATGCTTAACGATTTTAGAAACCCATTTCTAGGCGTTCTTTACGATCTAGCGTCAACAAAGAACGCATAATAGGACAGCCCATGTCTGTCTGTCTACCTGTCGCGTTCTTCCTAAGGGTATAGGCAACTTGCATGACCAGAGATCTTTGTTGTACAACAATGGAAATAGTCGAAGCAAATTTTCGCAACAATTACCTCGGATAACGTTATCGAAACAAGGCACAACAATTATACTGAATTAAATGCGTGTAAAAATGATCTACGTGATACGACATAAAGAACGTTGTAGAAATCTGTGAGAAAATTATATTCCAACAGACTCGAAAGTGTTCAGTAACGTTCAAATGAAAGTGAAGAGACCACTCGAGAAACAGACTTAGATGAAAGGATAATATTAAAAAGAATCTCAATTGGTTGAATGGAGTGGGAATGGTATAATTTTGCTCTGAATAGGGACCATCAGTAAATTATTATAAACATGGTAATAATTGTTACCGCTACGGTGGTCTAGCGGTTAGAACGCTGGCCTTGTAATCCTGGGGTCTCGGGTTCGATTCCCGGCGGTGCCCGAATTTATAACTTGTGTTGGGCAAGGCCGTGGTCTAGGCAACACGGAGTTTTCCTCCGTGGCATCCCAACAATTACTCCATTCACACACAGAAGAAGGCAATGGCAAACCACTTCTGGATCATCTGCCAAGAACGTATATGAACAGGCCCCAGTCCGAGAAAAGGATGGCAGGATCCTGTTCATATGGACCTGTCCTCAGACAGAACACTAAATAAATAAATAATTGTTATAAAAGTTCACAGAAAGTTCACGGAAAACAGGAAGACAAAAATATAGCACAGATGGCCTTGTACGATCTAAATGTTAATCCCGATATATTTTGAGAGGTACACAGCGAATGTATGTTTATGAGAGACATCAAAGGATGTCTTCCTGACCAGGTAAATATTTCAACAGGTGTTCTGTCGTCACAGATGCAGGTGTCTGTAGTCTCTGGTGCGTCCAGGAACTTCCGTCTCACGGCGGATGTGATACATCGCGGTGTTTCGAGCCCAAAGTCGGTGGCATTTAAGATAAAATTTCTACGTCTGGATTTCGACAAAACTTAGTATCATGAGTCAACAGTAGAAATGATAGTTAATTTCCCTTTCGTCAGTACGTAATATAAATTTCAAATGGCGAAGACAAACATTCAAAATACGTTTGTTAAAACCAACTCTTTCCATAACTCGTTGTACACTACGTCATTTAACACAAAAATTTGTTCCCATAATAAACTTCAGCGGGCAGTCTCTGTGTTGATATTACATAATTCATTTAGCCGGAAACCTTGTATTAATATTTACTTCCGAGACCCAACGTAGATTCGTATCGTCTCCTCATACACAGGAGCAACATTTACACTACTTTGCATAACAGCCTTACTATTAAAATATACATTAGTAACGACCGCGTCTGTAGAACAAAGTATTAATCTGATCTAACAGCTACCGTTTGTGTGTCAAATGGAGGCATTATACAGAATGCCCCAAAAATATGTATACACGTATTCAAATAATTATATAAATATATTTTAATAAACTAAACCATGACATACGTCAGTATTGCCACTTAGTGAATTATCTTATCTAATTTAGTGTTCAAACTGACAACCTTTAGCTCTCTGACACTGTTTACAGCGATTAGAAACTTAGTTACGTGATAAATATTCTGCATTAAAATATCTATACATCTTCTTGGGACATTCTTTATTTATCCTTTAAGACTATCGCAATATACTATTATGATTATACGAAAGGCTATTAATAATAAGTCAAAACCCTCTTTTTACTGGGTACTGAAACCAATAAATTCTTGCTACCAAGAGAATATCAAGTATCCAACCTTTTTTGTTCGTGTACCCCCAGATATAATTTCTCTTCAACTTTGTACCCCCAAAGTTGTTGGTGTATAATTCAAGTTATACATAGTATATAATCTACATCTAAAATAAATTAATAAATTACATTACTGATTATTCAGTGTTTATCATAAAATAATATTTTTTTTTTTAAATTTCACGTATCCCCTAAGATGTCTTCGCGTACCCCAGGTTGAATACCACTGGACTAACATATAGTGTTTTGTACTTTTTACCAGAATCTTACAAATGGAGAGATTCAAAACAGTAGCTGGGCCATCACATAAAAATGCAAGCTTACTGTCCTCAAAATAATCTTTTAAGTACTTCAAGAAAGAATTCTGGATAAAATGGTATTCATAGTTGATAAAAGTGATATTATTCAATAATTACTGAAATAATATGCGTCAATCATTCATAAATAAAATAATAAATTCCTTCCATTACTGTGACAAGTCTCTCTTACGCATACTGTAAAATATTAAATAATTTAAAGTGTGCCCAGCAATTTTGTAAATATTTTTACATTGCTCACTTTCGTGAATTATTTTATCTGTGCTTAAATATTTACAACACAGAATATCTTTTTTAAAAAAGAATAATATGTAAATTAGCAAAATTTACTTATTAGATGTACAGGTGACGTCATTTAAAAATGAGTTTTACAATTAAGCGATCTCGAAACATTCGAAAAATTTCAACATGAGTATTATTTAAAATGGGGTTACAGCTAAAAAGAAGACTCCACATGTATTAGGGTCCTTTCCTGAGAAGCTAACATGCTCTCAGATGGTCTACAAATTCACACAATTTCATGGAGACCCTCCACGAATATCGCGTTTTTATGGACAATCGCGTAATAAATTTTATAAAATCACTTCAGTAATTTCAGAGATAAAACATGTACAGACAGACGTACACCTGACGATAGTGACTTTCGAATTACGAAAAGATTGTATTAACATCACGCAAAGAACTTATATAAATTACTTATATGTGTTGCATACATTTTTGTACATTGCAGTACAAAAATCACTGTATTACAGCTTGTTATAGATTCCTTATCGGGTGTCAGAAATAGGCGTTTCTGACTGAGGTGTCGGTGGTTTATATGATTGCCTTATTACCCTGAAGAAGGTAACGCACACGGTTACCGAACGTAATTATTCTTGGTACGCTACCAGTCTGCTCCAGAAGGCAACTGCAACTTGTAGATAATCCATCGCTGATTATAGTCGGAGACTCTTTGGTCCTACAAGTATCATTTATATTAAAACGCCAAATCTGAGAACAAAAGCGATTTAACTTACAACACAAAATACTACTAAATTTATTCCCCGTGTTTTACTCGTAAATTGTACAGAATGACCACAAAATAAAAGTGAAATTTAAATGGTTTATATATTTTTAATTACGTAGCATATTTTAAAACTAATTGCTCCACAAAGGTGTTCCAAAACTGAAATTTTTGTTCATAGGTTTTCGATGTGGTTTTTACTGGTGATGTGAGATACATTTTATTTGAATACAGTCTCGTCCGATACTCTTAAGTAGCGTACATTCAAAGACACACAT